GCAGCGCGCGATCACGCCCCTTCGTGAGCTGGGCGCCTTCCCTGCAGCGCATCCTCCCGGTTCCGCGCGCTGCCGCTGCAGCTGTGTCAGGTCCCGGCCGCCTGACCCGGGAAGACGACAGCCAAGTTATTGGGGCTGACGGGCTCCGCGCTCCGGAACCTTTGCGCCCCATTCCCTGAGGGGCAGAGCTCCGGGTTTGGAGTTGAATCTTCGGGAGTGGTGCTGCCGACCACACACGCGCGCTCTCACTCACTCCTGACAGCTATAGAATTGTGGGCATGTATTGAGAACTGACTGCTTTGCTTAGGGGGAATGCTTGAAGTGAAAGTAATTTTCCAAAGAGCGGTAACAGGCAGAGCTCTACCTGGTTTGTCTAATCGATGTTGAGACCTCTCACACGCTTGGACCTCAGAACAAGATAACCTACTCTGAAAGCGGGGAGCAGTGTGAAGCTGTAGATGCAGCGGGGCGTTGCTGCAGTTGTATGAAGGAATAAGGGTTAACCGTGTTAGCAGGCAGCGCTCTGCTGAAGGGTTCTTAAGTGAACTTCCCTGAGGCCTCTTTAAGTGGAGATGAAATTGGACAGGTAAGATGCCTAGGTCCTGCCTAGTATTGTGTAGAGTATTGGGCCCTTGGAGGTGATGGCCGTTGCCTCTAGTTGCGTGACCTTTCTTAAATGTTCCCCTTCAAGAGGTTGAACCTAGACTCTAAGGGGAGCATATCTCAAAAGGGATGTACAAAATCTACTGTTTATATGGAACTGATCTCCAAGGAGTGCAAAAAGTGCCCAACATTCAGTAAAGTTGTTTGCCAAATATCCTAGCAAAGCAGATTCTTCTGTCACAATTTCTCAAAGAGATCATCATCCTAACTTCTTTCAGACAGACCGCTTGCCTAGAACCACCTAGCTGGATATAACCACATTGGAATTTGGTTTGATTTACAAATATAATGGCATAGAGCAATTTCAGTGACCTAAGCAGAGTGTAATAGGCTTAGTTTAGTTATAATTGAAAATAGAAGGCGGTGAATAGAGTTGGGGAGCTTAGCGGGTGATATCTGTAGACTAGAGCTGAGCCTGGCCTTTGACCTTTTCCCATTAGATTTCCAGGCGGGACAGTGTTAAGATTTCTTCCATCCTTCTTTGTTCACTTTCATACTTTTAATGAGTGAATGGTGTGAAGTGTAACAGTCCAACAAGTGAGTGCTTGAGGTTGACACCATCGTAGTGAAAGTCCTTGTCACCCTATGGTTTGCCTGAATTACTGCAGGATGCTCTGCTTGGAGCAGTGTCTCAAGTCTCTCCTCTCCTCTTGGTCCTTCCTATACTTTGTTCCCTAGGGAGAAGTCCTGTTAATTATTTTGGTTTCTCTTTTTAAGATAGGGCCCTCACTATGTAATTTAGGCTGACCTTGAATTACTGTGTATGCCTGGCTGGCTTCAAACTGCAGCAATCCTGCCTCAGCCTCACAAGTGCTGGGATTACAGGTGTGTATCACCACACTCATCAGAAGTCCCGTTTAATCAAGTCATTCCATTGCCACCAAACCTACTGCCGCAAGCAAGGTTTGAGGCAGCCTTGGAAAGTTAAAAAGATGCTGTCTCAAAGTTTAAAAATTAGAGGACCAGGGATTTAGCTCAGGAGTGCTGTCGCCTGCCTCACAAGTGCAAGGTCCCTAGTTTGATCCCCAGTACCAAAAAAAAATTTTTTTTTAATTAGAAAAGGCTGGGCCAGGGATTTAGCTCAGTGGCACCATGCCTGCCTCGCAAGCACAAGGTCCTGAGTTCGATCCCTGGTACCAAAAAAAAAGAAAAAGACTTGGGGGCTGGAGATGTAGCTTAGTGATAGGACATTTTTCTATCATGCAAGAGACCTGGCAGAATCCCAGAATCACCAAGGTGGGGCGGAGGATGGGTCGCTCAGACTCTCCTTTCCTGAAAACTATCCCTGTATGACTTCAGCCATTTATTATTTATTTATTAGGGTTGTTTTTTTTCAGCCTTTCTGAAATTCAGCCACAATTAGTCAGGGTTTAAATGAGACACCATTACGGAAGATGCTCTTGAGAATTAGGGTGTTTGGGCATTCTTTGCCTTCAGTTTGATGGAGGTGATGCTGGTATGGACAAAGAAATAAAAAGATAAAAATACAAGGCAAGAACTATAAGTGTTAAGATGCAGGGCCAGGGATTTAGCTCATTGGTTCTGCCACCTGCCTTGCAAATGCAAGGTCCCAAGTTCAATCCCTGGTACAAAAATAATAATAAAAATAAAACATAGACAGTTTTTTTTGTTTGTTTTGTTTTTTGAAACTAAGAATAAGGAGGATGGAAAATGATCCAACAGGGAGACAGCATTCAAGTTAGGTCTTATAGAATGGGAAAAGTTGACTAAGAAAATACTGGGTGGTGATGTGGAAGAAGCCAGCCTTTTTGGGGCAGACAGTTGGCTCAAGCAGTCCTAGAGGGAGAGAGGGTGTGTGTGTGTGTGTGTGTGTTTGTGTGTGTGTGTTGGGGGGATAAAGCTGGAAAAACAGGACCCAATTCTGGGAATTTAGGGATTCCAGCCCAGGAAGTTTAAATTTCTAGTTATCAGGTTCCCATTCTTGTAGCTGATGAAATTGGCGTAATGGAAGGATGGATATCGATACAGGAGTTTTATGTAACATGCATTCTAACATAGCCTGGATTAGAACAAGTTCTGAAGTGAGGTGTAAAAAATGAGGAGAGATAACAGATTGAAAAGACGTTGGAAGGCCAGCCTGAACTATACACAGCTAGTTTGAGGCCAGCCTGGTGTATAGTGTGAGCTTGTCTCAAAAATAAATAAGAAAAAGCTGGGGATTTAGCTCAGTGGTTCTGCTGCCTGCCTCGCAATCTCAAGGTCCTGAGTTCAGTCACTGGTACCAAAATAAAAGAGAGAGAGACAGACAGACAGACATTGGGAAGGACTCTAGTACTGACAGGAATGGGTCAGGAAAGGGAAGGGAATCAACAGTGGGGTTTCATCGGAGTGCCTGGGAGTTAAGGCAAAATAGGATTTTAAATAGCAGCGCCATTTATAGAGATGGGGAAGTCAGTGAGGAAGAGTGATGCATCTGTTTCTGTGTCATGTTCACATGACTGACTACACGCTGCCTGGTTTCATGCACTGATTCTCCCATGTTCAAGCAGAAGCACAACTTCCTCAGGCTGGTCTGTGTCTGGTACCTCTTCCGTAGTCCTTTCAGGTATAGCAAACTGTTGTTACTTTCTGCGGGTGCCTGAGTGAAACTACATGACTAAGTTTCTCCATTGGTTCAAGACTTGACCCTTCAGGTTAACCTTGATCCCTTTCCAGCCTGCACAGTTGCATTTGCTTATATCTAAGTCATTGCTATGTGGAACTTGGCTCCCTGGAATGTCTGAGCCATTGTTGAGATGGGGTTCAGTGCTGCTGCTATTTCCGTCACTGTGCATGTGTGTCTTTCCAATAGTGGCAGTTAAACCCACGGAGCACTGAGCTAGATCCTTAAAGCTTTTTTTGTTTGTTTTTGCGAAAAGGTTGTTAGTTGCTCAGGTTAGCCTCAAATTTGCAATCCTCCTGAGTGCCTGGGATTATAGGTGTGCACTGTTAGCCCTGGGTGACATTTTGAGGTTCCCAGAGAGTAAGGCTGGGGATGGAATGAAGCTGAAAATAAGAGCAGGAAATCTGGAGGCACGAAAACGAGAATGAGACTTTCACCGGAGACCTGAAAATAGACAGAAACCGTGAGTCAGAGCAGAGCCCAAAGAGGAGTTCTGGAAGGTAGCGGGAGGCTCTGGTGTCGCCTCTGTCAGGTGAAAGAATCGGGTTCAAGTGGGTGGAAGAGCGCGTGCCTCTGCGGGAGAGCAGTGGGCAGATGGAACGCTGGAGTCGGCCTGTGGTGACTCCGGCGGTTTCCCGCTTCCTTGGCGACAGCTGCCGGAGAAGTAGTGGCCCTAACTTAGCTCAGACCAGGGCTTTTTGTGCCATGGGAAGACAGAGTGCTCCCTGCAGATTTGTAGTAGAAAGTTCTGTGAAGGTCCCAGGAAGTAGGATTCTAGAGGAGTGAGAAACAGGCGAGAATACTTTAGAGGTGGCAGTGCTGTACAAAGTGGAATGGGCCTGGAGGGATTAAGTTGGTGACAACTCATTTATAGGGCCAGAGGTCCACATTTTACTGTTGTTGGAAGCTACTCTTCCTGTTGAGAACTGGGCAAGCCAGTGGGCTAATCTTTCCTGTCCTTTGAGGTTTATGACTTCCCAGAAGGCTAAAGGCATTGGAGGTGGGTAGGGCTGTGAATCTTTTGCTGCTTGGGGTCATGTGAAAACCTGAAATATCTCAAAGGATAGGATTAGTAACAACCCAAGCTAACACTTGAGAAGATTTCAGACAAGGCTGGGAGAGCCCCAGGGTTTTTTCGGGAAGGCTGTGCTAGGGTGGCTGTGGCTGTGGCTGGCAGTGCTAAATGTCCACCCTTGACTGAATTAATAAGCTTTCCCTTCAAACTTGACACCTTGAGGCCTTGCAAATTCTCTTCCAAGTGAGGAACGGCTACCTTCTTTTCCTACTTGCAAACTACTCATCAGAATCTTCCCTGTGCAACCAGAACAGAAATGCTTTGAGGCAGGCCTAGCCCCAACATGGGGAGGCCTCTGCTCAGAGCTGGGAGCCCTGCACCCAGTGGAGCAGCTGGGATTCAGTTACCAGCTGTGTCCTGTCTGTCGCGTCCTCCCTGATCCCCCACCCTGCATGTGCTGAGGTCCTCATACATGCTAGGCAATCTGCCACTGGATTGCACTACTCCAGCCCTTTTTATTTTGAGACAAAGTCTCACTAAGTTGGCCTTAAACTTGCGATCCTCCTGCCTTACCCTCCTGAGTAGCTGGTATTACAGGCATGGACCACCGCACTGCTTTACCTGCTGATTTTTTTTAGCACCAGGGATCAAACTTAGCACCTTGTACCTTCAAGGCAGGCGCTGATGCCACTAAGCTAAATCCTCATTCTCGCCTGATAATTTTTTTTTCCTTTGGTACCAGGGATCAAACTCGGGACCTTATGCTTGCAAGGCAGGCAGCGGAACCACTGAGCTAAATCCCTGGGCCTCACCTGATAATTTTTAAAGTTAAAAATACCCCGGGCCTCACCTGATAATGTTTTAAAGTTAAAAAAAATACCCAGAAAGGAGAATGTGATGGGGTACACCTGGAATCCCAGTTACTTAGGCTGAGGTAGGACAATCAGAAGTTTGAGCCCAATCTGGCCAATTTACCAATACCATCTCAAAATAGAAAAAGACTGGAGGCCCGGGATTAGCTCAGCACAAGGTCCTAAATTCAATCCCTTGTTAAAAAAAAAACAAAAAACTGGGAGCTGAGTATGGTGGCATACATCTGTAGTCATAGCATTCAGCAGGCTGAGGCAGAAAGATTTCCATAAGTTCAAGGCCAGCAAGACCATCTCAAAAAGTGGGGGGGATTCAGTTCAGTGCTGCCGCACCTGGAGTTCAATTCCTGATACCCACCACCAAAAAAACGTTGGAGATGTAGCTCTGTGCTAGCCAAGCATGTTCAAGGCCCTGAGTCAGTCTCCTTCCTGTACCGTGCACACACAAAAGAACACACCCACCATCACAGATGCTCAGAACTTCTACAGCGACGCTGTCAGAAGGGCTCTCTCCTTCCTCGGAGGAGCCACGGTGTTTTAAGAGGATGTGCCTTTTCCGTTTGTCTTCTGACTTAAGCCCAGAATTGAGCAGTGTGAGGGGGATTCCTGGAAGAGGCAGGGTCTGGGTCAGAGATGCTAACCCATTTGACTACTCTCAGCGGGGCCATCCTCCTGGGGTAACAGCAACGGGGGCACAGACCGAGTATTACTGAGCCCTGCATTTAGCTCCGGCATTTTAAACTCTCAGTGACTGCGATCTCACCAGTGTTTGTCTTTGTGCTTGTGAAAAACCATTTAAACCTGAAGGCACCAAGATTCTGTGTGGCCCTGGGGATAGACAAGGGCTTCAGTAAGTGCTGTAGACTTGACACTCATGAGTGTTACTGTGTGCAACTTTAAAAACCTTTAAAGTGTTAAAGATGAGGTCTTGAAACATCTTTTTGAAGGAAAATACTCATTTCCTGTGGTGGCAAATGCCTAAAATCCCAACCCTCTGGGAAGTCGAGGCAGACTGAGGCAGATGGCTGCTGGAAAACTTAGCAAGACCCTCCCTCCAAATGAAAAATAACTAGGTTGGGTATGTGGTTCAGTGAGAAGGCCTTGAGTTCAAGTGCCCAGTAGTGGGGTGGGGGGACCAACCAGCAACAGAAAAGTCATTTTCAAAGTGTACTTAGCTCATTTTTATGTTGAGTATTATTATAGATGCATGTTTTGTAAAGTCATTTGTGGTTATTTTAGTAATTTGTATTTTTGAGATCATTTTGTGGTGAGAACAATTTGTGATTTCCAAAATGTCAGAAGGCAAGACTTACACTTGGTGCCTGAACTTTTTTTTTTGTTTTTGTTTCTTGAAACAGCGTTTTGCTATGTAGTCTAGACTGACCTCAAACTTGTAGCAATTTTATCTTAGTCTTCAAAGTGCTAAGACTAAAGGTGTATGCCACCACACACAGCTCTGACTAAACTGTTGACACTTCTCTATAAGACAAGAAATTCAGGAGCAAACTTTCGGTACCTAAAAATTCTGAAGAAAATATTGTTATTGTTCTTCCTAACCACTGTCCTCTTCATTCTGTCCCAAGATAAAGCCACCAATCCTTCCAACCGCCAGGAAGACTGGGAATACATAATTGGCTTTTGTGATCAGATCAACAAAGAGCTTGAAGGGTGAGTCTCAGCACTGTTAGGGGCAGGTGAGAAAGCCGACTGGAAAAGCCAAAAATTGTCCGAGGAACACTTGCTCCTGCATCAGTGTCCTGACATGGTTTCCTGTCCCCCAGGCCCCAGATTGCTGTCCGACTGCTGGCCCACAAGATCCAGTCTCCACAGGAATGGGAGGCGGTGCAGGCTCTGACGGTAGGGCTTCACCTTCAGAGGCAAAGCAGTGGGTCCCCTCACCTGCCTGGGCCTTTCCTCATAGTCCCATGGGGGCTTGTGGCTCGAAGGGCTCGCCCAAAGGCTGGCAGGAAGTCCTTGAAATCTCCATGTTGGTCAGGCAGGCCCTGGGCCACAGGCAGCACAGAATGCTTAAGTGGAAGCTGGGGAGGGAAAATGTCCTGCCATTTAAATTGGCAGTAACAGAGCCAAGGATTTAGCTTAGCGGTTCTGCCACCTGCCACATAAGCACAAGGTCCCAAGTTTGATCCCCGGTACCAAAAAAATATAAATTTAAAGATTATCTCCCACCCCCACTCAGCATGTGGAAAGGACTCTGGACCTCAGTATTCCACATCTGTAAAGTACAAGGACAGCATCTTTAAGGGAGGCACCTTCAGGGCTTGATGTTTGGGTCTCAGCATTTCTTATTGGGCCCCAGAGCAGTGTCCCCAGCAGAGCTGTGCCATTCGGGGTGTGGATGGCAAGAGATGGTGTTACTTAGCTGTACTGTTCTCTGGGGCACAGCACCCACCTTCTCCCAATGGGCTCCTTTACCTCCAAATGTTTCTGGTGCTAGTGTACTTGCTGGTGCCAGTCACGCACTACTGAGTCCCTCCCCATGCGGCTGCAGGTCCTGGAGGCCGCCATGAAGAACTGTGGGAGGAGATTTCATAACGAAGTGGGGAAGTTCCGGTTTCTGAACGAGTTAATCAAAGTTGTCTCTCCAAAGGTGAGTCAGTGGCACTTTCCTCCCTTCCAGGGACTTTTCTTGTGTCCCTTCCCGTCTCCCATTTTATTGGTGTTCTGTGCCCACCCAGCATTTCCATGGGGCTGACCCCCTTGTCCTGGAGAGCCAGGCCCTAGAGGCAGTGGTGGCAGCTGTGTGCGTACCCAGGGAGAGGGCCTGGGCAGCGAGGATTCCGGGCTCCTAGCACAGCTGTGGGTGTTTGGGCCCATCTTCCTGAGTGTAAGGAGCTGCCTGCTCTCGCTGCTCGGTCAGGTCGTTTTGTATCCCTGGTCACTCACTCAAAGCAGAGGGAACCACTTTCCCACTCACAGCACCCTCATAGAGTCTTCAGGGTAAACCACAGTTCGTTTCAGGGAGCTTAAGTGTGGAGGTGTGGGGGTGAGCTCAGACTGTGTCCTAGAGAGGTGCCTCTCCTCCCTCCCCTCCCCGCCACGTGTTAACACCTGCTGGGTTCGAGTAGGCTTGGGACAATAATAAGCAACCCTGTCATTGCCTCCGAAATGCAGTTACTAAGTTCACCCATTTCTTTTTGCCTCCTAGTACCTGGGGGACAGGGTATCTGAGAAAGTAAAGACCAAGGTCATTGAGCTGCTCTACAGCTGGACAGTGGCCCTGCCAGAAGAAGCAAAGATCAAAGATGCCTACCACATGTTGAAGAGACAGGGTAAGTGTCTGCCTTCTGCAAGTTCTGGGAAGCCGTTGAAGAGCTCTTGCTGTCAAGGCTAGCCGGAAAGGGGAGGTTTGGGGGCTCCCAGGCTCCCTCCTCCTGAAGTGTGGCATTTGTTGCCAGGGCAAGGCTCAGCTGGGGTTTTGTTGGGATGAGGTGTGAGCAGCCTGCCCTGTCTCCTGCTCCCCCTTACAGGTCTTGATCGCAGTGATAAGGCCCTTGATGTGAGGGGGGACAAGGCGACTGCAGCCTGAGTGCACACTCTGCCACTTGTGTCCCCTTTCAGGCATAGTGCAGTCTGACCCACCAATCCCTGTGGACAGGACACTGATCCCCTCCCCACCGGCTCGTCCCAAAAACCCCGTTTTTGACGATGAGGAAAAATCCAAGGTGAAGTACATCCCAGACCTGGGCTGAGTGAGGATGGCAGCAGGAGGAAAATGGCTTTTTGTTTGACACTGTGGGAAGCTGCAGTTTCTTTGTGGCCTCCAGGTTGGGTAGGGGTGGTGCTGTCTTCCCCTTCATCTTTAGTATATTCCTTTTCCAGCTTTTAGCCAAGCTGCTAAAGAGCAAAAACCCAGAAGACCTACAAGAAGCCAACAAGCTCATCAAGTCTATGGTGAAGGAAGTGAGTGGACTCTGGTCCTCTGGGCCTGGGGCGGAGGAGTTTGCAGCCCCAGAGCAGAGCAGTCTCTGCCCTGGCGTGTTAGGCCTTGTTCCCCTGCCACAGCCTCGCCTGGACTGGAGTATGTGGTAGAAGGATAGGGAATGAGAGAGGGTGAGCGAGAATGGGCGAGAGTGAGAACAGCAGTCACTGTCAAAACAACTTAATGGTGGGTTGGGTCCAAGGCCTGTGGTCCCAAGCATGCACTGAGCAGAGTTCTGGGCTTCGCCTCTGCTCGCGCGGGGCCAGTGGTTAGCGGCCCCCACTGGGTGGGAGACCATCAGGTGAGCTTGCTCTCCCCGGGACCCTTGGCTGAGACAGGATGAGGCGCGCATCCAGAAGGTGACCAAGCGCATGCACACCCTGGAGGAGGTCAACAACAACGTGAAGCTCCTCCATGAGATGCTGCTGCACTACAGCCAAGAGCACTCATCAGAGGCAGACAAAGAGCTCATGAAGGTAGGTGGCACGAGCCGAGAGCTGCCCCCAGTGCTGCCTGTGCCACGGGAACGTCTGCCACCAGCATGCTCGCTCTTCAGCAGCAGCAGCAGCAGCAGCAGCAGCAGCAGCAGGGAATCCAGAGGTAGCGCCCCGGTTACACAGGAAGTCCGCAGATGTGCCCCAGGGGACCCTTGCTGTGCCTCCAGATGTCACCCTCTGTTCACCCCAGCTCACTGGCTGCCTTTCTTCGCTGCCCTGGTGCCCAATGCTAGTGTTGAGGCCCAGGCTGTGACTGGGTAGATATCTTGAGTTCTGAGGCAGGAGGATTGCTGAGAGTTGGAGGCCAGCTGCATATAGCAAAACTCTCAAAGAAAAAAAAGGAAACAGGGCCAAGGACGTGTCTCAGTGGCGCTGCAAGGACAAAGTCCTAAGTTCGATCCCTGGTACCAGTGGGGGCAGGGGGGCTTTCTTCCTCTCTGCCATCCGAACCTCCATCAACACAGCTTGGTGCTGCAGGCTGGTGGAGGCTAGAGGAGGCTGTGTTCCTTGGTCCCAGCTCTTCAGTAACTGTCCTTGGTAGTTAGGGGAGCCCTGCCACCTTCTGAGCATGACTGCTGAATCAGGATTTGAGGGCCTCTCCTGATCTTCGTGTCTGGGTCTCTCAGGAACTGTTTGATCGGTGTGAAAACAAGAGACGAACATTATTTAAACTAGCCAGCGAGACAGAGGACAATGACAATAGTTTGGGTGAGTTAAAGGTAAGATTGGTATGGATAAATCAGGAATTTGATACTGTCACAGTCAGGAATGAGGACTCTCTGCTGCTCTAGGGGACATCCTGCAGGCCAGTGACAACCTCTCCCGGGTCATCAACTCTTATAGGACAATTATTGAAGGACAGGTCATCAACAGTGAGGAGACCACCTCAGCTATGCCTGACTCAGAAGGTAAAATGTTCTGGTTCCCCATTCTGGGACTCTCCAGACCACCCACCAGGTGCAGGCTGACCACGTGGCAGCCCAAAGGACCTGAGGGGACACTTAAGCCATCCCTAAGGGTCCTCATGCTTCCCCAGGCCAGGAAATATGGATGCTGATTTCCCCATCTGCCTTGGCCTGCTTTTTGGGATCCTCTAGAAGAAATGCCAGCTGTGCCCAAGGTCCCGTCTCCTGCTGCAGCCACTGGAATGGTCCCTGATTATTCTTGTTCCCTTTCTATTGACCCATCCAGGAAACAGCTACTCCAGTAATCAAGGCACTCTCATCGACCTTGCTGAGTTGGACACACCCAACAGTTCACCCCTGGTGTCGGCCCCAGCACCCAGCCCACCCTCCTCAGACATCCCCATCCTCCCTCCACCTCCCCAGACCTTGGGGCCTCCACGAAGCTGCTCCTCCAGCCAGGCTGAGCCTCCCCCTGGGCCCAGCAGCACAAACACCACCTTCTCCTTGCTGGATGAGGAGCTGCTCTGCTTAGGTGTGTCCTAGGGGCAGCTGTACAGGGTTTCTCCTGGAGTGGCCTGAGCAGGAAAGGCTGTGCATCCCAAGTCTGAGGGGTTCTCTGGTGTACGCATCAGTCAAGTCTGTATCCCTGGAAACCTCCAGGGCTGTCTTCCGTGTGCACTCCAGGGTGGGTGTGGTGTCTCACATTCCCTGGGAAACTCGTCCTTACCCGTGAGATGAGCAGCTGCTAGGAACAATCCCCTCACCCCCCGTTACACTGATGTCTCTCGTCCTGTGTCCCTTGTTCTGGCAAGCTGGGGCTGAGCCACTTACTGTTTTTCTTTTGTTTTGTTTTGTTTTTGAGACAGGTTCTCACTATGTAGTTCAGACTGACTTGGAACTCACTATGTAACCCAGGCTGGTCTCAAACTCACAGCAATCCTCCTGCCTCACAGCCTCCCGAGTGCTGGGATTACAGGTGTGTGCCTCCATGCCCGGCCACTTACTGTTTTCTTCTGTATTCTCAGGACTCTCTGACGCAGCCCCCACTGCTCTTCCCAAAGAGTCAGCTGGAAATAGCCAGTGGCACCTGTTCCAGGTACGGGCACAGTCTAGTGTGGCACAAAGGTAGTGTTCGCCCCAGGACCTTCCCTCTGTCTGCTTTTCTGATTGTTGCTCAGCTGTTTCCACTCCACTGTCCACTGCAGCAGGGAGCTTGCTGTTCCCGAGGGCTTTTCTCTGGCCCTGTCCTTGGAGGTAGCTAGTCCCCGGGTTGTGGCCCCCTTCCAGTGCCCCTAGGGAGATCCCAGGAAGTGGTGAGCGTTTCCCTGCCACTGGTAGCAGCACTCTGTTCCCCACTCTTCCCCATGCAGGGTGAACAGTCCAGCGTGGACTTCTTCAGCCCCAGTCTAGGGTCTGCTGCCTGCTCCTCGGAGGGACCCCTGCTCCCGCCTTCAGATCCCCCATCAATCACATCCCAAGCTCCACTGCCATCTCGCTTCCCAGCCAGCACACCTGGCCCCAGCACAGTCTCCTTCATGTTCGCCTCCGGACTTGCCCCGGCTTTGGCCCCAAAGGCTGAACATGCAGCCACTGAGTTCCACAACTCAGCACTAGGCGACAGCAACCTGAACCACCTGGATGCCCTCGATCAGCTTCTAGAAGAGGCCAAAGTGTAATGAGTAGGGGAAGGGGGCGGGCACAGCAGGGAGTACTGGGGCTGGAAGCTGGGGCTGTGGGGTCGCTAAGAGCCATCCCTGGCTGGGCGCCTTGGTGAAGGCTTGGCTCAGCAGCTATGGCCTGTGCTGACTTGCCCTCTGTCCTTCCTGCCTCCCAGGACCTCAGGCTTAGTGAAACCTGTGTCCTCTTGCTTTTCCCCTGGGGCCACCGCCTCCCCTCTGCTCCCCACCTCCGTTCCAGCCAGGCCTCTCCTGCCCTTCTCCGCGGGACCTGGCAGCCCACTCTTCCGTTCACCAGCCTTCCAGTCCCAGGGAAGCCCCATGAAGGGGCCCGAGCTCTCCCTGGCCAGTGTCCACGTGCCCCTGGAATCCATCAGGCCTAGTAGGTGTCAGAGCTGGGAACGGAAGTGGGGCTGGCAGCTGTGGCACTGGAGGGCGTGTACGGGTGGGCATGGGTGGGTACAGGTACTCTGTGGAGCAGTCCCCAGCGCGTCCACTGCCTCGCTTCCTCGGCCTGTGCTCCCTGCAGGTGTGTGTGGCTTTGGGCCCCCATCAGAGGTCCTTTCCCCAACTCCATAAGAAAGTACCGTGATATGGTGACACTGTACCCACCTCCTTTCCCCAAATTAGTTGCAGTGCATACTGCCAGGACTCTGGGGTGTCTGGCACGTTCTCTCACCATGTTCATGTTCGTGCCCCTTCTCGCAGGCAGCGCCCTTCCTGTGACAGCCTATGACAAAAATGGTTTCCGCATCCTCTTCCACTTTGCCAAGGAGTGTCCGCCAGGACGGCCCGACGTGCTGGTGGTAGTGGTGTCCATGCTGAACACAGCTCCTTTGCCAGTGAAGAGCATTGTGCTACAGGCTGCAGTGCCCAAGGTACTGCCAGCTTCCTGGGCCTCCACAGGCCAAAACTGCCATTGTCTTAACACACTGCATGGAGGGCCTCTCAGAGGCCAGCAGATGGCAGGATGTGTGCATCCACCATAACCAGACCCGTTTCCGTCTCAGGCCGTGTGCCAGCTCTCTTCAAAGGCGCTTTTCTCTTATCTTTAGTCAATGAAAGTGAAGCTGCAGCCACCCTCTGGGACAGAACTCTCTCCATTTAGTCCTATCCAGCCACCTGCAGCCATCACCCAGGTCATGCTGCTGGCCAACCCAATGAAGGTGAGCAGGGGAGAGCCTGGGTCGCGGCTGCCCCAGACTAGGTCTCCTGCCCTAAGCCTCGAGGGGACCTCCCCAGCCTACAGCTGCAGCAGGACCTCTCCCTTTGCTGCCCCAAGTTAGGTGCCCAAGTCTAGGTGGGTGTGGTGGGAACCGGGAAGGGACCCATGGACTGAATCTTGCTCACCTGCTGCCTTTTGTCACAGGAGAAGGTGCGACTCCGGTATAAGCTGACCTTTGCTCTTGGGGAGCAGCTGAGCACAGAGGTGGGCGAGGTGGACCAGTTCCCTCCTGTGGAGCAGTGGGGGAACCTATGACCCCAGAGGTCTCCACTTTTAAGCCAGGCAGCCTGCCCCAAAATGGAGAGGGCTCCAGTCCAATCATTCTCCGCGTCCTGACAGCGCATTTGTAGCTTTGACATGGACCTGGGGCCCTAGGGACTTCTACTGGGAACTATCACTATCCTGCTGCTGTGATAATCTTTCCTTGGGCCCCTAAAAGGACTTGTTTCTATCTACCTGTGTGACTTGAAGTGGCCATATACTACTGTCAGGGGTGGGAAATGGCCCCTGTTGATACTGCTGTACTGGGACAGTAAACCCCAGGTCTGCCTGGAATGGGTTTTCCCCTGTATCGGCATCCCTGGTTCCTAGGGGACTCTAAAGAGGTCTTAAGTCCCTGCAAGAACAGGGTCCTCACACTTGAGAGAGGCATGGTTTGAGGCTGCAGCCCGTTACCAGCCTGGGCTTACCCTACTGGCAGGCTCTGGTGCCACCTCCACAGAGGTGTGCAAAGCCAGGGGCCCAAAGTGGGGCTGGAGTCCTCAAACTTCCTGCCTTCTGTGGGCAGCAGCTTCCTGAATGGCCACCAAATGAGTTCTGCACTTGTCCCTGTTTGCAGTGACGGGCTGTCTTGTGGACATCTCAGCAGGACATGGAATTCAGCCTATTAGAAACAACCTGGCCTCATGACAGAGACAAGTAGCGATAGGAAGGAAGATGAAGAGAATCAGTTTTTACCCTTCAAAAGTAAGGGCTGGGAGCTGCTTGGGAAAAGTGCACCTCCTGTATGCAGACAGGCCATCCTACTCACTACCTCCTGCTCAGCATGAAGTAAACTGCTTTTCTTCCCCTAGTACCTTCCTGCCAGATGTGCATGGTAGGGCACCTCCTCTGCTTGGGCCCAGGAGGCCTCAGGGTCAAGCATACTGCACTGGAATTAGGTCCTTCTGTGCTACACAGAAATTCCAACTGTCTCCCCACTACAGAGGGGCACTGTCAGCCAGGAGCCAGCCTGGAGGGCGGGGGGGACTACACTCGAACCAAGACCCAGACCCTGAGGCTCTGACAGTGCTTGGCCCAGTTGTACCCGGGCAAGGCATACTGGGCCACAAGGCAACCAAAAATAATTACCAGCTGCCCCAGAAGTTGGGTAAGGGCCATGGCTCGGTGGCATAAGCTATGGCCCCTGCCCCTTGCCAGGTTTCCTTGCTGTGAATCCAGAGGTCATCTTGCCGCCTCTCCCTCACTTCCTTTCATAAGCGGGTTTCACTGCTTCATCAAGACAGGTCAAAAGTGAAGTTTTCACTAAAGGAATAAATCCAAGAGCTTTCCAGAGACCAGCGGATGCCGCCCTGGGAATGTCTATGGGATTACTGTGTGGAAAAGTACCTTAATAAGCTTTAGATATTAAAATTAGTTACCAGTGTTACTCCTACTATTGAGGTCACTGATTGTGGCAAACAACTGTACCAGATATACCCACTCTGCTGCCCCTGTTTTGCTGCATGTTAAATAAAACTATTTTTACCCTACCTGGAATCCTTATAACAGACACCATTTGCCCCAAGGGGAAGGTGTCATCTGTGAATTCCAGGTGGGTGGGCAGAAAGTACAGATTTCTAAAGCCTTTTAGGATGATCAAAAAATGTTGCAGATGATTTGAGGAGAAACCATGCTCTCAAGCCTAAGTAAACCAAGGACTCCCTCTTGTTTAGGTTCCCAGTTATAAGCAGGACTCTGCACTCACCAATTCTATCTTGGGGTGGGTTCTCTAGGACAGCAGGGAAGACAGTTCCTTATCGAAGAGAACAGAAGCCAGGCACAAAGTCATGCTAGGCCCAACTATTCAGGAGGCTGAAGCAGGAGGATCCTTTGAACCTGAGAGTTAGGACAGCTTAGGCAATATAGCAGGATCCGTCTCACAAAACACTTTCATTTTGTTATCTTGGGTTCATAGTATAAACGTGGATAAGAACTCCTTGGCTGGACTGTTTGCCAAAGAGAACATTTATTCTTTTAGAAAGCTATTATACATTTCCATACAAAGTTACCACTGCAGCAGCTGTGGGCTGACCTCAGGAACCTTCCAGTGAGCCCTCTCTTATAATTGCCCGAGCAAGGTTCCTGGCAAGAGCCAGTCTCAGCATCTCCACCTTGGTGATCTCTATGTCGTCATCCTAAAAAGCAGAGAGCAGGTGTGAGGAACAGCCGGGGCAAGGTAGAGGGCATTTAAATCACTTCCATTCAACAGGAAAAAAAA